CTACCAGCAAGGAGAATCTCACCAAGCACGAGGACCCAGAGGTGGGCTCCATTACTTCCTTCGGCACACTTAAGAGAGCCCACATCTCCCGCTCCAAGACCTCCAGGACGTCCTTCTACCTCAGAGTTGGAGCCCTAGGTGAGTATGGGGGTGGTGTTGATGTAGATGTAGATAGAGATCAAATCATCACTACCACCACTCTCCACTCACTACCACCTTCACCACTGGTACAAAGAAGTTGAGTATGGTCGGCGCCCGGGATATGTTGAGTTCCTGGTAATGAACGAGAGGATGCTGAGGCGAAAGCTACACATAGTGTATATACCTCTTATTGATGAGAGTTGAATGACCTCAGGTGCAAGTGGTTTCTTAATATTACAACTTGCTTCCTCATCATCAACATTAATAATGTCTGATCTCACAGTGTTCGGACTGGGCACCCTGATCTTCAACGGGCTGGAAATCGCCATGCATTCCACCATGAAGAGTGAGTGTGTCAAGGACATCGTCTTCGCTCACCCTATCCTTCAGGCACTCTTCACATTCCTACAGATGCACTTCCTCTTTGTTAACTCGGAGGTGAGAGAGGGAGGGACGATATTATTATTATTATTATAAGCTGCTTTACTTATTGCTCTTCTAGGCTATTCTTAAGTTTTAACTTAATTGTTCCTCTTGTAACTCACCTGACTTATAATTCACTTGACAGTCTTATAACTCGCCTGGGACAGTTGTAAATCACCTGGAACTGCCATAATTTATTCTGGGCCCCTTCATTCCCTTAGGTGATCGTGGAGAAATTCGGTCAGGTTGCCAGGTTCGGCTTCATGCACCTGGTGGCCACCAACATGGCCATCTGGATTAGAATGGTGGTGTGGGAGTCAGCAACAGTCTGGATCCAGGACACTTATTCTTACAGTAAGTGAACCTGACAGTTATGTTATAAACAATGTATCCTACTCACCATTGTTTAAAAGAAATACTTACGTAGCATGAAGTAAAGTTACCTCACATTGTCCGAGTGTCACTTTCAGGACACTTTTGCTTACAGTAAGTGAACCCACGTCTGCCCTTTCTAAATCAAAATCATGAAAGGATGTAAGATAATATACCAAGTTTCTCAGCATCATGAACAGGGTGAACAACACTATAATTATAAATGGACCAGAAAATTGTACCGAAAAGGCTTAAAGAAAGTTTTCCTTGTTAGAATAGCAGATCAGACTGACACATGGAAAGGTAACAAGTGACACTACAGTTGTATGGTTGATTAAATGCTAAAAACGGAACACCATCAGAACGGTGGATTTAAAATACATGTGAGTAAACACAAACATATTTATTAGAAACTTTTCAGTCCTTTTACCTTAATCACTTCTAACCACTGAAGCGATTAAGGACAGAACATTTTTAATGTCCTAGTGTTTCCTCACACGTCTTTTTAAACCGCTTATCTGTATCAATTACCAAGGTTTAGACCACGAACACAGCTCTGCCACAGTAATTATGAGGCATCCTTCATGGGGCAGCCTTAATGCTGTTGAAGGAATCTTAATCCAAACAATTGGAGCTACCCATCCCTAACATAAACCTCATTACCTTCCATTTACCAGGTACTGTAGAGCCCTGACGAGTTTAATGTCTTTCTATGAATAAAAATAATGAAGATAGGCACTTGCAGCAGTGACATGTTTGTGTTGTCCCACAGAGCCAGTGGTGGAGGTGCCACAACAGGCGGAGCAGGTGCTCAGGCTGTACTCCTGTTTCCATAACAACACCCTGGGTCGCCTCTGGACTGATGCTCAGCCTTACCTCTTTCCCTTCCTCGTCCAGTACAGGTAAACCTTTCCCTCTCCTCCCTTCCCCTCCCCTTGCCTTACCTCTTTACCTTCCTCGTGCAGTACAACTAAATTTTTTCCTCTCATCTCCCCTTCCCTAGCCTGCCTCACCTCTTACTCGTTCAGCACAGAAATATGTAAGTAGGTGAGGTGCTTTATCATAAATTGTGTTGCTTTATTTGAGATTATCATAAATTGTGTTGCTTTATTTGAGATTAAGCACCTAACACTACTCACGGGAAAACTGCTCAGCACCTCACCTTAATTCAAGTCTGCTGAAGCATCTCACCCTATTCAGATACATACCATATGTACTCATAAAAATACATATTCTCTCCTCATTTTTGTGTATAATGAAAAGGATGTCAGGTGGATATCGGAATATACATCTCAGATTTCGTGTTTATTTCTTTAATAAAATTCGTGTTGAACTGTGTTTAGCATGACCGAAACGAACGACATTTTGCCACTTTTAATACGATTTTTAATTCTTAGTGTAAGTGTTGTGGCCTTGTTATGCCTTTGTTTTGACCTGAATAATTACCACATTAATAACTTGACCCATCAGGATTTACAGGGGCTAATTGATACTGTTATGATATAAACTTGTGAACAAAACTATTTTTCACAGACCTCCCTTACTAGGCTACGTAACGTAAATATTCAGTCTTTTCATATTTTATTATAACGTCCAGTTAATAAGCAACGGTTGTATTATAGAAGAATAATCACCTGTCATGAACTGCATGTACCTTGTTTATTATTAATATTTAGGAGTAAAAGCTGAGTATTAATGGTAATCAAAACGTAACAATTTGGATTAATTACAGTAGAAAAAATTAAAGGCAACTATAATTTGACTGGGGAAGAGATGCAGTGTGGATGTGGTTTACCTTCGTGAGCCCGAAACAACTGTATAGATTTACAGCCCTTGCCATCACCATAACCCCAGTACCATCACAACGCCACCATCGCCATCACCATAACCTCAGTACTATCACAACACCACCATCGCCATCACCATAACCCCAGTACCATCACAACACCATCGCCATCACCATAACCCCAGTACTGTCACAACTCCATCATCAATGCCCTCACCATCACAACACCACCATCATAGCCCTCACCATCACAACCCTCACCATCATCACAACTCCACCCTATCACATCCCATATCATCATGACAATGCCATCACCATCATCACAGCCCCATCATCGTGTCAACCCTCACCACCCCCACGCATTATATGCATTATTCAACCCCACCATGCATTAACCCACCTCCACCATATTACACCTGCGCATATTACAGCTTGATAGCGGCGGCTGTGACGTACATAATGTGGTGCAACGTAGGTAAGGAGAAGCTGAAGAAGCTGAGTCACCTGGGCAAGGCTGGCATGGACACTTCCACCACCCTGGACAAGCGTGGCGTCAGGAAGGGCTACTGGAAGGTGGGTGATCCCAGGAGGCAGAGTACTGCACCCATTGATCACACTCTTGTCAGGCATCCCCTCAAGGAAGGTTCCTTGATGTTGGTGAGGGGCTCTTGATTTAGGGAATTGGATCTGTGCTCCAGTTCCCCGAATTAAGCCTGAATGCCTTCCACATCCCCCCCCAGGCGCTGTATAATCCTCCGGGTTTAGCGCTTCCCCCTTGATTATAATAATAATAATTGTCAGGCATCATTTTATTTGATTTATGTTACTTCTTTGCTGTTGTAGTGTCTCGTGTTGTCTCTGAATAAAACGTTGTGTATGCATATTTTCTGAAAAATCTGCACCCTTCAGCAGTATAATACACACTTTGTAAATACAAAGTAAAATTTGAATCCATCCCTTATGTTTTAGGGTGCATTATTGACTCAGAGGTTTTCCCAGATACTTAGCTATTCACCAAAGGAATTTATCTATCATTATTTCCTTTCAGTTATAGTTATTTTATTGTTTAGTTATACAGATTGGATGTAGAGGACTAGATAAATCGATTCAGCTGTATAAAAAAGAACTATAAGAGACTTAAGACAAATGCCACAAGGAAACTGTCCTTTTTTTCTTACAGGTTGACTGTAGGTCGGCTTCGAAGGGACTCTTTCTGGGTCTACTGTGTCTGGTGGGTGGTGTGGTCATCCTCATCATTTTCTTCGTCATGAAGGACCAAGAGGACTTTAAAACCAAAATGTTCTGGATGTGCAACGGTACTCAGATGATCATCCTCTCTCTCTCCATCATTAGCACCACCATTGGCTTCCTGCAGCTGCCCAAGCTCTCAGTCTCCACCACCAAGCCTCTTGACCTCGACCGCCTCCTCCTCTCCTCCACTATTATCGGAGTGTACATCTTCTCCGTCTTTGGGATGATCGTGGGAGGTATCAACTACACCAAGTCTGAGTACCTGGCAACATTCTGTGTCAACGCACTCCTGTTTTTGCAAGTGAGACCCTTGAAAGTCCTCTGGTGTTATGTAGTGTATACATGAGGACTTATTATAATCACTGTGTCGGATGTGCTAGGATGTAGAAGTGCGGGTGTGAGTGTACTCGCCTATCTTTTCTTGAAGAGGTATTGTAGTAGCTCCTGGCCCTGCCTCTGAAATTGGCAATTATTAGGTTCACTCTGCTGGCTCTGTGAGCCCTATCATATCTATTCTTGAAGCTCTGCATATATGTGTGTGTGTGTGTGTGTGTGTGTGTGTGTGTGTGTGTGTGTGTGTGTGTGTGTGTGTGTGTCTGTGTCTGTGTCTATGTCTGTGTGTGTGTGTGTGTGTTTTATGCTCTGAGATATAGACGTGTCTCTGTGACCAATCGCTAATGTACGATGTTTACAGTTTTCTCCTGTTCCTCAGGTATCGCTGCAGGACATGCTGGTTGCTGAAGCGAGTCGACGAACTTGCTCGTCCAGATACCAGATGTTGACCAAACCAGGTCGGCAGGTGATCACCTTCCTCTTGTTTGCTAACATCACCTTGTGGATCCTGGATACCTTCATGACGCACACAAGTGTCTCGCAACAGTTTCAGTTCGGATTTTATGGAGTGTTAGCTTGGGGTATTATCTCCCGCATCTCCCTCCCGCTTCTCATTCTGTACCGTTTCCACTCTGCTGTCATCCTGGTGGAGATCTGGAAGAACACTTATAGAACTAAAGCTGCCTAGGAGGAGTCACCTACAGCCAGTCTAGATATAAGCAGCCAAGCTCACCTTCTTAACCACAACACATACAACATTCACCACTGTCTCTCAAACTCTTGCTCATGTAGAACAAGCTCTGAATTTGTTTATCAAAATTTAACCCGTTATAAACTTAATGAGTCTTCTGAAGTCTCCAGGTCACACACAACTAATTCCTACCTATTTTTTCCTCACAATCCTCGCCCTTCATACAAGTCTGTCTCTCACCATCACCGCCTTTCTCCCTCTTTACTCTGCATCCCCAAATGTTCTTCCTCAGAGACTTCACTAGCCCCCTCCTGCATCTCTGCCTCTCTTCCTGTCCTGACGCGGGTGATTAGGTTCACCCCTGACCCTGTGACTCCCACTCCACTAGCTGATCAATTAGACTTGTACAACTTTTCTCAGGACTCGCTTTTGCAGTCTGCTTCACAAAGAAGTGCACGTGCAACAAGCAACATCCACCGTGACACACCACACATGACAATAGTCTCACCAGCTGCTGCTGAAAAATGCAGTGATAAAAAAGAAAGAGTAAAGCGTAGAGATCATAAGCTGAGAAGGATCTTGTTTGGTAACAGCACGATGTTACTGAGACAACGGAGCTTAGTTATAAAAGAGCTCATGATGGGTCATGGCCACAAAGGCTGCCTCATGACTTCTAAGCCTGTTCAAAATGAGCTTAGGAAATTACTCCATAAGACAATGAAGTCAAAAGACAATTGGCACAAAGCTCCTCCAATTAAGATGATTCACCGATGGGTGAAGAAGAGGCGAAGTGGAAGAGCACACTTGGGAGGCATCTTAGAGTCTCGTACGGCAAATGAGCCATGGAGCCAAAGTGCTGTAGACAGTAACAGTGGTGCATTCTGCTGTGGTATTGCAGATATCCGCAGTGCTGTAAACAGTCACAATGGTACTGGCTGTAGCGGCAGCATAAAGAGCCCAAGTGGTATAAGTAGGCCGGGCTCATCACAGCAGCCTGGGACGAGCAGTGACTCTTATCTGACACCCATACATGTGACTCCCTCCAGACGTAACCCACAACATTCTCAATTCTCTACGGCTCTTAGACGATCACCATCCAGACAAAGCAGTTCAGGGAGGCATGAAAGGGCATATCAAACACCAAATCACAATAGTGTTAGATACAAAGGGAGGCAGCGATCTTCTAGAAAAAGATCAGGTGATTTTGTTACTCGGAGACTCGGGAATAAAATTTATTGTTTTCCAGAAACTGATAATTTAGCACAAAATTCTTTAAAAAAGAGTAAAAGGGAGCATTTTTTTCCAAGGAAACAAAAAAAGGCTGATCATTCAAGTCACAGATTTAATGCGGGATCTTCGTTCCATGGTAAGCATCATGGACGTAGATCAGCGAAACCACATAGTGAGCAACATCACCAAGTATCTTCAGAAGGTATGCGCTACTCTCACAGGAGCAGAACATCGTCTTCACCCGCCCCGACACTTGAGTCAGGGATTTCCCGACGTTCTTGCCAAAGTAACTGTGATTCTTCACGGCCTGACTCTCGACTGCAGCGGTTGCGGCGGGCGTGGCAGAAGGAGGACGTCTACACTCTTAATCCCTTCGACTCTTGGCGCCTCCGTCAGCAGCCCACACATAGATCTACCTCCCCTCCTCGCCTTCATGTAACACCAAGTGAGCCGGGGCTCAGAAAAAGTAAACACCTACGTGTCTTTAACCACCACAGCACAGCCTCTGCTAACCGACATCCTATTAGGCAACAAAATCGTAACTCTCAGAGAATGAAGAAAGAAACACCATCACCTTCCTCCCGTCGTCATCATTATTATGATGAAATAGACTCTGTACCTTCGTCTCCCCCATCCAGGTTTTCTCACTTGCTCCCTCACCCCACTGATGTCTTCTTCCGTACACGTTCTAATGAATATCTACACTCCCCTCACCCGTCAGGGCCGGTTGACTCCTACCCAAATGGCTCGCCCTTCGTCCTGGGCTGGCTGCAGGTGCCCAGCAATGTTGATAACCCCACCAAGAGCATGATGTTTCGCAAGGCACCGTGGCTCAAACCCCTGCAAGGCCAACACAGGTGACGCTGGCGTGCTGTCACTTGAACACACGTCACACCACACACCCACATTCCTCCCTCATTGTATACATGAACTTGGTGGTGCGGTTCTCTCTCATTCCATCACCTTGGTGGTGTGTGCCTCCCTCATTCCATCACCCTGGTGGTGTGGTGCCTCCCTCATTCCATCACCCTGGTGGTGTGGTCCCTGCCTCATTCCGTCACCCTGGTGGTGTGGTCCCTGCCTCATTCCATCACCCTAGTGGTGTGGTGCCTCCCTCATTCCATCACCTTGGTGTTGTGGTCCCTGCCTCATTCCATCACCTTGGTGTGGTCCTTGCCTCATTCCATCACCCTGGTGGTGTGATCCCTGCCTCATTCCATCACCCTGGTGGTGTGGTCCCTGCCTCATTCCATCACCCTGGTGGTGTGGTCCCTGCCTCATTCCATCACCCTGGTGGTGTAGTCCCTGCCTCATTCCATCACCCTAGTGGTGTGGTGCCTCCCTCATTCCATCACCTTGGTGTTGTGGTCCCTGCCTCATTCCATCACCCTGGTGGTGTGGTCCCCGCCTCATTCCATCACCCTGGTGGTGTAGTCCCTGCCTCATTCCATCACCCTAGTGGTGTGGTGCCTCCCTCATTACATCACCCTGGTGGTGTGGTCCCTGCCTCATTCCATCACCTTGGTGGTGTGGTCCCTGCCTCATTCCATCACCCTGGTGGTGTGGTCCCTGCCTCACTCCATCACCTTGGTGGTGTGGTCCCTGCCTCATTCCATCACCCTGGTGGTGTGATCCCTGCCTCATTCCATCACCCTGGTGGTGTGGTCCCTGCCTCATTCCATCACCCTGGTGGTGTGGTCCCTGCCTCATTCCATCACCCTGGTGGTGTGGTCCCTGCCTCATTCCATCACCTTGGTGGTGTGGTCCCTGCCTCATTCCATCACCCTGGTGGTGTGGTCCCTGCCTAATTCCATCACCTTGGTCGTGTGGTCCCTGCCTCATTCCATCACCCTGGTGGTGTGGTCCCTGCCTCATTCCATCACCCTGGTGGTGTGGTCCCTGCCTCATTCCATCACCTTGGTGGTGTGGTCCCTGCCTCATTCCATCACCTTGGTGGTGTGGTCCCCGCCTCATTCCACCACCCTGGTGATGTTCCTCGCTTCATCACCCCTCCCTTCACCTCACCCCCCCCCCCCACGCTCGCATCACCTCATACACACACCGTCTCTGCACAGCGGAGGCAGCAGTGTGAGCAACGTGTTGGTTGTAAACTTAACAATGGTTTTCCACCAGTGTTATGCAGCATCAGCTGGTGCTGCTTTGTGTTATTATAGTTATTATGTGTAAGCGGAAGCCAGAGGGGAAAGTTGTGGTGCAGTTGTTAAGGAAGGTAAAACTTTCTTGTTGCTGTGCAACTCCCATTAGTTATGCATTTCTCTCTGTGCACCGCGATACTTCACTATTGATCTGCTACACAAATTTTGCTGTGTGTTTTCCACAGTTTACGAGTTTAAAAGTGTGTGTGTTTGTGTTTATATGACTATTTGTCTGTTATATTTAAAAAGTGTAGTTTTTATACCTGTTCAATGTAGATATTGTTATCCACGAAGGAAGCATTATTTTTTCTTTTTTTCTTATTGAATGGTACTGGTTTTGGTTATAAAATAATGCAAATTTGTATTGTTTGTATAAGGGTCACGAGCCTAAAATGTACATAGGCTGTTTATTTATTGTTAACCTAAAATAAATACTATGTAAATTGTTACACAAGCTTCATTATCCTTCGTAGTGACACTAGTTTTATGTAAAAATAACCTTCATATATTAATGTTGTTACGTACCGACAAGTGTGTTAAGAAGACAATATGTTGGTTATGGCATTTTATTGAGACGATGTTTAGCCCACCAGGGAGTTTATCGATTCTCTTTATCACTTGACTGAGTCCCTGGTGGACGAAACGTCTTAGCAAAGGGTCATGAAGCTCATATTGTGCCATATTAACATACTGATAATGACCCTATCAGCCTGTGAGCAGAGAACTAATTAACTTGTACGAACTTCTTATCGAGGTCACTGACAAGTGTGTGCAGGAAGGTGTTGTACTGCTGCACTAGAGGTGCCATGGTACTGCAACATTAGAGGTGCCATGGTACTGCTGCACTAGAGGTGCCATGGTACTGCTGCACTAGAGGTGCCATGGTACTGCTACACTAGAGGTGCCATGGTACTGCTGCATTAGAGGTGCCATGGTACTGCTGCACTAGATGTGCCATGGTACTGCTGCACTAAAGGTGCCATGGTACTGCTACACTAGAGGTGCCATGGTACTGCTGCACTAAAGGTGCCATGGTACTGCTACACTAGAGGTGCCATGGTACTGCTACACTAGACGTGCCATGGTACTGCTGCACTAGAGGTGCCATGGTACTGCTGCATTAGAGGTGCCATGGTACTGCTGCACTAGAGGTGCCATGGTACTGCTACACTAGGGGTTTGCCATGTACTGCTGATTAGAGGTGCAGGGTTTCTGCTGAAACTAAAGGTGCCATGGTACTGCTACACTAGAGGTGCCATGGTACTGCTGCACTAAAGGTGCCATGGTACTGCTACACTAGAGGTGCCATGGTACTGCACGAGAGGTGCCATGGTACTGCTACACTAGAGGTGCCATGGTACTGCTGCACTAAAGGTGCCACGGTACTGCTGTACTAGAGGTGCCATGGTACTGCTACACTAGAGGTGCCATGGTACTGCTGCACTAAAGGTGCCATGGTACTGCTGCATTAGAGGCGCCATGGTACTGCTGCACTAGAGGTGCCGTGGTACTGCTGCACTAGAGGTGCCATGGTACTGCTACACTAGAGGTGCCATGGTACTGCTGCACTAGAGGTGCCATGGTACTGCTGCATTAGAGGTGCCATGGTACTGCTGC